ACAGCCAATGACTGCAGTTAAATTTCTAATAAATTTACTTTAATGCTATCTTAAATTAAGACAAGCAAACAAAGCAGACAATCTTTTAAAGATGTCAACAGAATACATAAATGTCTACATACAGCATGTAGGGTACAAGGCTCACAATACCAAAAACTAACAAAAACAACATATAATACTTTATCTCTACTATTACCCAATTAAAACATAATTGTATACAAATTTGCTTGGGGAAGCAGTTTGCTTCATGTTCGAATCTTCCACAAATTTTATCACAAGTGTACAATGAGAGAGGCGATATACTGACATTGACCTATGCCTTCACACTTGAAGTACATGATATGTTTTAGTATCTCATGAACACCTGTTGTCATCTAAACTGTCATGCATGTTTTCCTGTTATCACTCAGTGTCAGGAGGTTGAAATGCCTTAATGATTGTCTAAGTACAGTGGAGTGAGTTTTATGCATTCAGTTTCCTGTATCGAGGACTGGAATTTCATCATTGTTATTTAGAGATTGTCTTCATAATTAAATCAAACTTGTGGCATCATGTTGTCATTGACTACTCATCATAACAAATACCATTCAATACAGTTTTTAAAGTTTCTTCCCTGACCAATGATTTGCATCTATTGTGTATGCACCTATCTTAACTATATATTTGACAGTTATATGTGCTATATCTCTTCCTATCTGTTACATCCTATCTGTTACAACACAAGTATAACATAATTCTTTCAACTCATATCAATTTTGGTAAATCGCATGGTGCACAGATTTTGATGGGAATTGCACAAGGGTGATAACCAGTTACTGTACCATCCTTACATCAACATGTTCAACTTAAAACTGTTATCTCATACAGTGTGAAAGTGATTTCATTATTGATATAATCCTACACATAAAATCAAAGTTATGCATGTAAGTACAGACAGGAGAAAAGCATGAAAAGAAAGCTGTGGTGCATGTTACAGCCACTCCAAACAAGACTGACATCAATACTGACTGGATTATTTTCTTTTCACTTGTATTGAACATGCTGGACAAAATCCCAGAGCACTAACACCAAGTTAACTCCTGAACTGTTTGAACCCTAGACTGAGAGGGAAAAGGTCAGTCATAAAAAAAGCAACGAAATATGTTTACACTGTTTTCAATCCTATTTCCTGGGGAAAAATCAGGCTACAGTAGTACCCAAGTTAAATGAGTGGTATTTGATATGAACAAGATCCACGGTAATGTAGGTATAGGAACCATCTGCCACCAAGATTGGAACACCATGGGGCAAAACTCTGATCTTTTGATCTTAAAATTTAATTCATTCCTCAGCTTACTTACAGCCCATGCCCAGACTTTGAAATTGGGAAAATTTCCAGAGGTAGGCTTTCTTATGACCAGTTCCACCATACATTTTCCTGTTGGTATGAATTCCTCCTCTGTGCCAAAATTCTGTTTATTGCTCACTAAGATTAGCCTTTAATGAAGTTTAATTTGAAGTTCTTTTACTGGAAGTGGCAGAGTGCTGAATTAGTTGAGTATTTTGAGATTTCGAAAATCTAACCAACTGACTGGTAGTTCTTCAACTGCCAGAAATGTTATCCTGGTGTTATACCATTAATGTATTATCTACAAATAGCTGATAATTGGGGTATATAAGAAGAGAAATGAGTCTAAACACCAAGCAGTTATTGAAATTTCAAATCATAAATAACACATCGTTCTCTTCACTCAATACAAGGGAGGAGACATGGACCAGATTTTGAGACTATTTGTTCAAAAGGCAACATCAGTTCAAAGTATTTGTTCTATGTATGGCCAGTTTGGATATTCTTCTACTATCTTGTTGCCCAATCTTAACTTGACTTTTATGTCTTTCTGTAAACAACCAGTCACAGCATGTAGATTCCTATTCTAACAAACATAAGAAACTTTGTGTACATATGTTAGCTCTCTTGCAATTACAATTACATCTCAATCGTTCTCAAAACTATTTGATTGATATCTAGTCTCAAAGATGATTATAAGATGAAGATTAAAGTCTGTGATCAAATAAAAACACTGAATACTGATACTCCTCTGGGAATGTTCACAATATATTTGATTTTACAAAGCATTGCAACTCCAACACTACACAAATTTCTGACAGTAGAAATCTATCCCGAGCACATCAAATGTCACATGACCATCTATGCGTAACTAGTGATGATAACATCTCCTGTCTTATGCTCTGGTTCAAATGTCACAATATCAGCCATTAATCTCCCCTGAAATGTTATGTCTGTTATCAGTTATAACATGTTGTGTAATTTCAACTTCTCATTCTTTTGGTGTCTTGGCCCTGTTAAATAAAATGATCTTAGTGCTAAATAAAGCATAAGTTTATGTTGGTGTATAGCACACATGACTTTCATAGCTGTATATCTTGAGAGCGAATCATGGCCCTGCAGCTCACATCAGTAGCTGTTGGTGGTGTTCTGCTGTTCACATCTACTGCTTCTGTTGGTGTTCAGCTGTTCACATATACTGCTTCTGTTGGTGGTGTTCAGCTGTTCACATCTACTGCTTCTGTTGGCGGTCTGCTGTTCACATCTACTGCTTCTGTTGGTGGTGTTCAGCTGTTCACATCTACTGCTTCTGTGGGTGGTCTGCTGTTCACATCTACTGCTTCTGTTGGTGGTGTTCAGCTGTTCACATCTACTGCTTCTGTTGATGGTGTTCAGCTGTTCACATCTACTGCTTCTGTTGGTGGTGTTCAGTTCTTCACATCTACTGCTTCTGTTGGTGGTGTTCAGTTCTTCACATCTACTGCTTCTGTTGGCAGTCTGCTGTTCACATCTACTGCTTCTGTTGGTGTTGTCCAGCTGTTCACATCTACTGCTTCTGTTGTGGTCTGCTGTTCACATCTACTGCTTCTGTTTGTGGTGTTCAGCTGTTCATAGCTACTGCTTCTGTTGGTGGTCTGCTGTTCACAACTACTGCTTCTGTTGGTGGTCTGCTGTTCACATCTACTGCTTCTGTTGGTGGTGTTCAGCTGTTCACATCTACTGCTTCTGTTGGTGGTCTGCTGTTCACATCTACTGCTTCTTTTGGTGGCCTGCTTCTCACATTTACTGCTTCTGTTGGTGGTCTGCTGTTCACATCTACTGCTTCTGTTGGTGGTGCTCGGCTGTTCACATCTACTGCTTCTGTTTGGGTTCAGCTGTTCATATCTACTGCTTCTGTTGGTGGTGTTCAGCTGTTCACATCTACTGCTTCAGTTGGTGGTCTGCTGTTCACATCTACTGCTTCTGTTGGTGGTCTGCTGTTCATATCTACTGCTTCAGTTGGTGGTCTGCTCTTCACATCTACTGCTTCTGTTGGTGGTCTGCTGTTCATATCTACTGCTTCAGTTGGTGGTCTGCTCTTCACATCTACTGCTTCTATTGGCAGTTTGCTGTTCACATCTACTGCTTCTGTTGGTGGTGTTCAGCTGTTCACATCTACTGCTTCTGTGGGTGGTCTGCTGTTCACATCTACTGCTTCTGTTGGTGGTGTTCAGCTGTTCACATCTACTGCTTCTGTTGGTGGTGTTCAGCTGTTCACATCTACTGCTTCTGTTGGTGGTCTGCTGTTCACATCTACTGCTTCTTTTGGTGGCCTGCTTCTCACATTTACTGCTTCTGTTGGTGGTCTGCTGTTCACATCTACTGCTTCTGTTGGTGGTGCTCGGCTGTTCACATCTACTGCTTCTGTTTGGGTTCAGCTGTTCATATCTACTGCTTCTGTTGGTGGTGTTCAGCTGTTCACATCTACTGCTTCAGTTGGTGGTCTGCTGTTCACATCTACTGCTTCTGTTGGTGGTCTGCTGTTCATATCTACTGCTTCAGTTGGTGGTCTGCTCTTCACATCTACTGCTTCTGTTGGTGGTCTGCTGTTCATATCTACTGCTTCAGTTGGTGGTCTGCTCTTCACATCTACTGCTTCTATTGGCAGTTTGCTGTTCACATCTACTGCTTCTGTTGGTGGTGTTCAGCTGTTCACATCTACTGCTTCTGTGGGTGGTCTGCTGTTCACATCTACTGCTTCTGTTGGTGGTGTTCAGCTGTTCACATCTACTGCTTCTGTGGGTGGTCTGCTGTTCACATCTACTGCTTCTGTTGGTGGTGTTCAGCTGTTCACATCTACTGCTTCTGTTGGTGGTGTTCAGCTGTTCACATCTACTGCTTCTGTTGGTGGTCTGCTGTTCACATCTACTGCTTCTTTTGGTGGCCTGCTTCTCACATTTACTGCTTCTGTTGGTGGTCTGCTGTTCACATCTACTGCTTCTGTTGGTGGTGCTCGGCTGTTCACATCTACTGCTTCTGTTTGGGTTCAGCTGTTCATATCTACTGCTTCTGTTGGTGGTGTTCAGCTGTTCACATCTACTGCTTCAGTTGGTGGTCTGCTGTTCACATCTACTGCTTCTGTTGGTGGTCTGCTGTTCATATCTACTGCTTCAGTTGGTGGTCTGCTCTTCACATCTACTGCTTCTGTTGGTGGTCTGCTGTTCATATCTACTGCTTCAGTTGGTGGTCTGCTCTTCACATCTACTGCTTCTATTGGCAGTTTGCTGTTCACATCTACTGCTTCTGTTCGTGGTGTTCAGCTGTTCACATCTACTGCTTCTGTTGGTGTTCAGCTGTTCACATCTACTGCTTCTGTTGGTGTTCAGCTGTTCACATCTACTGCTTCTGTTGGGGACCTGCTGCTCACATCTACTGACTCCACTGGTGTTCAGCTGCTCACAATTGCTTCTGTTTGCATTTAGCTGTTCACATCTACTGCTTCTATTGGTGTTGTGTTACTCACATCTGCTTCTGCTGTTCATATCGCCTACTTTTGTGCGTTCTGCTGCTCACATTGTGACTTTTCTTCTACTCATAATGGCACAACATAATGGGTCACAATGGCATTTAACTCAACAGTGCAACAATGATAAGCCAAAGAGCAATATACATAGAACAACATGGGACTGAATACCTTCAAAACATCTGGTAGAGCTCTTTGTAGACTTGCCCCCTGCACAGCATTGAACATCTGGTTGAGCATTTCTTGGCGGTCTCGGATGTAGTCACCAATGTCTTTCACCTCTTTGTTAAGGTCAAGATCAGGGTCATTTAACAGTGCATCTTCCTCCTCTGTGTTTTTCTTTTTCTTTGCCTTCAACATATTTTAATAAAAAATGTTTAAAGTTAAAAGTCAGTAAAATTGCAACTATCTGTAGCACCCAAACATAATCAAGACTGAAGCAGAAAAAAACTGGTTTGAAGCATGAGCTGTAAAGCAACAATTGTATGATGACACATTATCAACCAAATCATAATTGCAAACACAGATCTAATAAACACATCTCTGTTCAATGCATTGAGTTCTATTATATTGTGTTTCTTTGAAAATGGGGATGATTAACGGAAACAAGACAAAAAGTGAGCAGGGCTCACTAAAGTTCAAAACATGAAAAAAGCAACATTTTCTCAGTAAATCTATTTACTGAAATCAAACTTTACACTGCATCTTTTCTATTAGTATGGAAACTGTCCATAACTTTGAAAAGAATCCATGCAGTAGTTTTCACGTTATTGGTCGCACAAATGTTTAAGCAAAAACATTAAAGTAAAACAAAGACGGATGGAGGGACAAAATTCCTTGGTATAACTATTTACTCTGCCCTTATAGGTCGGGGGTATAAAACATGAGTGAGTGAGTGAGTGAGTGAGTGAGTGAGTGAGTGAGTGAGTGAGTGAGTGAGTGAGTGAGTGAGTGAGTGAGTGAGTGAGCGAGCGAGCATTTATGTTGCATCAGCAATTTTCCAGCTGTATAGAAATAAGAATTTATGGGACTAGAGAAAGGTTATGGCCAAGAAAAGTAATATGTAAATAAACAGCCACAGTTGGATTGCATGGTCAACTCCTTTGAGATCCTTCTGTTTGTTACAATGAGAGTAGATGAGAATTTCCAGTATTGGTTACTTCACATATGGCCACTAATAAAAAATTATTTGTGCTATGCATCTTTTTATATAAATACAAACTCTACAAAGCACTCAGTTTAAGTCACTGATGATTTTAAGAACTTATCAGACAGCAAATTGCATGGCACAGAGTTTTCAATGTCCTTCTGTCACCTATGGGGAATGAACAAAGGTGTATATTTCTCTCCTCCCTCCTTATTCTTTGTTTGAAGAAAGAATCATTTATTCACAATGCCATTATTCTTTCATGTTGCATGAATACTTAACTGAGGAAACACAAACTATAAATAGGAAATCACAAAGTGTGTCACATCATAGGATGGCTTTTCACCACGTTGAGACCCTCTTGATCCAAACTGTCTCTAATGTAAAGAATTTAAGTACAATTAACAGAATAATTTGATTATACCTTACATCCCAGTTTGTGAAGTAAGCTTCCACTTGGGTATTTTCATAGTGCTATAACATCTAATAGAGATTAACCAAGTGTTGTGCAAAAACAACCATGTCTGTCACCCCTTTGAGAATGTGCCTCCCCTAACACTAAGCACCCACTTCAAAGGACACAACCATCCCTAAATCTATTTATGGATTCTTCTAATGTAATTTCTGGAAGAGTTCACTTTGCATCCTGGGGGTGATGGATGAACTGTGCTAATGTCACAGTTTTAAGATCTTACAGTTTGCCAGATGTTTGACAAAATCAGAAATCTTTTCACTAGTAGCACAGAGAAATATGTTGCTTTTGCCTGTCATTTTTATTCCATTACATTCTGCACATTTGCTTGGCACATCTGTTTTGAAGATGAAAATGAACACAAGTATGTTGAATGGCAAAGAAACAACAGCAAGTGCACTACTTTCTGGGATGTGCTTGACATTTGCAGGAATTTCACGTCCCTTTTACCATGGAGAGGAGACATACTTTCACTGGGACATGTGTCTGCTTTGCAACTAACTGTTTTTGCTTTCTTAACTGTAGACAGAGGGGAAAAGTAACTCAATTATCTATCTCATTTCAGTTGTTTCTCATCACCTGAATCTTGTACACAACATTGACGAAAAAGTCTTCTCTACAGTATCATAGCAACCAAAATGAAATCATGGACAATACTTATTTTACTTGACAACAACATCCAAGAAAATCACAAAAGTCAAGTCAAAATCATTCGTTGTTACTCAACACACAAAAATAAAAACCTTTGTGCACTGAGGCTACACAGCTATCCTCAATAACTTACTTTATACTTGCAACACATTAAATATCAATGTTAAAAATACTGAAATCTACATCACAAAGGCATAACTTGGGAAAAATAAATGAAAATATGCCACAGAAGGTTTCAATTGTTTACGACTTTGGTGAAACCCACACATGGCATCAACAGGATTTCATAGTCATTGGTAAACACATTCGCATGATATAGACGGAATCATAAAATTGGTGCATATAATGATAGAAATGTTTATTGTTGCTTTTTAATTAAATGAGCACAGAATTATATGAAAACTATTCCAGATACCTTTGCTGAGATCATATGCATAAAAAAGAAGTTTCAAAGAAGTGACAAATGAGGTGTTACTATTTACATTGATGTACACAAAGGTCAAGGTCATAGCAGAACAAATATCATTATAATGAATATCTCACACTTTCTGAAAGTGTACATGAAATTTTACAATAATAATTCAATAAATGACAAAAACAGATTGGAAATCTGTGAGTACTACTAAGAGCCTATGTACACATCATTGCATAATGACGCCTTCACAAAAACATCAGGTTGCAGCGGCAAACAAAGATGTCCTGAAACTCACACTTGATAAATACTTTGGACATTTGTTCAAATATGATATTGCAAATGTCAAAATCAGCAAGTGAATGAAAGGAATATGTTGTTCATATTCCATGAAAGGACAATATCCCATCATCCTAGAACAAGCATGGTTACCTAACACTTACACTGTAATCTATATTGCACTGGAATCTACAACACATCTGGGGCTTCAAGACAATGCATAGTCTTCCACATATATTGACTTGATCTTTGCAAGATAACAAACTAATTCAGAGTCTAAGTCATAATTACTCATTATTTATGATTGACTGCAGAGAATTATAATATAATTACTTAATTGCTGTAATTAGAGTTGTTATCACATCTTGATATGATTTGACATACTTCAGCCATGACATGAAACAGATGTGTGGCACCACACTGGAGGACATCTACATACAATGTGCATCTAAGATAACTTACACAACCACATATACTTTGGGACTATGCTATCTTTTAACAATAAGCAATACCTAAAATGATGCCCCCAAAAAACTTGGGTGGGTTCCAGATAACATAAAAATCTGTTTTTTCCTCTTTGAAGGAGTGCAGTGGCGTATCAGCGACATAGTTTTCTTCAGTGAAGTGCTTTGGCAATAATAAATGTCACATCTACTCAGCCATGCTTAAAGACAAAAATTACTGCTACTTCGAATATGTAGGCTATTAAAGATGTCATTTTTCTCATGTGTAACATACAGATTAACAAATATTTTGGTCTATGTACAGTGAAACATTAGTCTCAATTTGGTTGATCCAGAGATCATATATGGGAGCACATTATCTGGTATATGATATTTCAATGTGGTATTAGTCTGGTAAATCCATTACCACCATCATTCTGATAGAAATGAACAGTCTAGATTAACTACACCTCAATTTATATTCTGATTCTGTGTGTTCTCACAGAAGGTTAACACAAAGTTGTAAAAGGCATAAAATGTATTATTTTTAAACTATTATTCAATATTTGCAATGCAAACTTTCCAAAGCTGACAATTATGTCCACAGTAGACTGAGGTTACTGAAGTTATTGTTATTGAGTGTAGTACGCTACTGCCATCACAAACCATTTCCCAAGCATACCAATTCCAACGAGCACCAATGGTCTGAAACGTTCTGAAACGTTCAGAAACCACAAAAGCACTTTCAGGGTAATTTTCACTCATGATAGTTATTTCTTCATCAACCACACAAGAAATATGCCTCGCCCTTTACTCATACTCAAATCCATCACTGCTGAAAAAAATAATTCTTCAAAAATAAATGGCTGAATAATACCAATGTCACCTGATGTCAGTAAACTATGTCCAAATTATCTCTGGCCATTTTTTTCTAGACAAGGTATGTTCTTAAAACATCCACAAAAGTCAAATGGACTGAAGCTTCACTTATAACCTTTTGACTTGTTCAAAATTATACAGGATTGATTTTGTAAAAGAAGGGAGCCAACAAAATTTCGCTAATGGATTGAGAAATGGATGATGGATGGATACAAGACCATTTTCCATACATAGACAACAGGTCATGTGCAGTATCTTAATATCTAATTACATAAAAATGCACTTTAAAATTAAGCGAACTTCATGATACCAAGAACTATAGCTGAAATTCTCAGACAATGAGTCATGTTAAGCCAAGGTCAAAAATTAAATTAAACCAACAAAGCGAAACTGAAGTGTCTGCCATACCTGACAAAATAGGAAGCAAAATGACAGCTTGAAATATCAACAGTATCCTTTTACAAAATGCATTGCATTGTTTTCCAAATTCATCATTTTCAATGCAATTGTAAAACGAAGTTTCATGTAAATGGTAAATATAATACTGCTAATGGTTAAGTCTGGCTTTGATTGAAACAAATGGATTACTCTGACACGCAGATTTGGTTGCTACATCTATCAACGTGAAGGATGTTTGGTGCTGGGACTGTGATGGGTCATAATACATTACACTGGCGATAAGTAATTTCAAACATCAATACAGTCCACTTCAAATGATTGATTCATAATTCACACCATCGGTTCAATTGCATGAGGGTGAAGGACATCCAGCACTCACCTGCTCAACACCCGAACAAATGATTTTGAGTTGGTTTTTTTTTTCTGGTAAGTCAATGACTAAAACTTTTGTATACTATTTGTTTCAATTAGAAAAATTATCATTGTGCTATTGTTTGTTTGCTATCAAAACCTTTCATTACTTCTATAGTTAAAAGAAATACAAATATTTGAGAAAAAAGGTATTTTCTGTCCACAAAAAGCAGTTCAACTTTCAGTTAATGTTAGAAACAAACCTACAGGCTTAAGTTTCAGGGGAAATACATCAATTAAATCATTAATTATTAACAG